CTGAACCTGTTTTCAAGAGGAGGAGGTACAGGTTTATTACCCCACCGAGGGAGGTTCAGTCACACTCCCTGGAGAATGTTGTGCTCCAGGTCAGGTATCTCTCCTCCACGCCAGCGTAAACAGAGTGCTGGCCAGCTGTCAGGGACAAAATGGAACAAGTTCACTCAAGCACCTTCACCTAGAGTTAAGGCCACAGCTTGTTCTTAGGAGCACAGGGGCTTAGGTAATCATCTAAAAACAAAGTCTGTGAGAACAATTCCTTCAGGAAAAGCAGGAACACTTGTTTTTCCATTTCAGCATAAATATTAAAAGGTATCATTTAAAAAGCCACAGAAATATTCTTTTCTTTCCGAAATTTCTTTTGAAATTTTCTCTTTACTAATTCACTAATTCTCTGAGGCTAATATTATGATCCTTCCCATGAATGCAAATAGCTCAAAGCAGCTAGTATATTACAAATTAGCAAGGGTCAAAAGGGAATTCCTTGGCAGTCCAGGGGTTAGGACTCTGCACTTTCACTGCCAAGGGAGCAGGTTCAAACCCTAGTCCGGGAACTAAGATCCTGTAAGCCGTGCGATGAGGCCCCCCCGCCCCCCCAAAAGAGACATAAAGAGTAGATGAACAAGAGAAAAGGTTAAAAAAAAAAAAAAAGAACTGAAGAATGAAATGAAGTTACGTAACACATCTTCCACATGCCTGTGTCCTAGTATCTTTACCACCACAGCAAATGTCAACTGAGCAAGACAAAATTCTCACCATGATTTCATGTGACTCAAGTAAAAGGTAATTTATATGAAGAGAGGAGGAGAAATTTTTATGTTCTTGAAAAGGGGGAGCTGAGGAAGAATACCATACCTAAATTCACACGGTTCAACATCTAGAAAAGACCTGACAAGTCACATTTTATGCATGAGACAGACGCACATGGAGAGAGGGGTTTCCCCACCACAGAAGTATCTTCAAATTCTATCCCTTACATAGAAGCATCTCACAGGCAAGCATTCGCAACAATCCTGGAAGCAAGGTATAACTGACAGTGTGGTATAATGTGTATTAAAATATAAGAGGCATGTGGGGGTAAAGGGATTAAATGTCATTAGCACAAGATGATTTTATTCTTGCAAATCGTATAAGTCCTATATACCAAAGATATAAAATAAATTAACGCAATGTGATATTATTTTCAAACCCAGTACTCAAAGCCTAACACACAAAAAATCATGGTGTTTCCAAGCAGTTAACGATGATTTACAAGTGAAGGGTCTGCTCTGACCAAGGCAGTTAAAGCATCATGGTTCAAACAATGACTACCCCACCATCAGAGCATGCTGCATTCACGTGTGACAACCATCTTCCCACTTTGCTCAGCTCGCAGCTGTGAGTACACATGGAAGTAAACGGGGTCAAAGCTGAGGATGAGTCTGCTCGTGTCTGTAAAGCCAGAGTCATTCCCACACAACCCTTCTTCGTCCTGAAACCCCAAAGCACCACAGCCCCCAACTCCCCAGCCCTGTCATCTATCTTCCTGTCTGGCAAGATGGAAAGATGAAACACATGACATCCAGACACGTGAAAGTTATTAAACAAGGTTACTAATCAAAATATTTTTTAGCATATCAACCAAGTAAATATGTAAAAATCTAGCAATTAAGAGAAACTTCCATAATTAAGTTTTAGCTAATTGTTTTATCCTACAAAATAAGCTGTGTCCCTGTCCTCCATTCAGGAGATACTTCAGTTTTATAACCCTGACATGTTTACACGGCACCTGGACAATTTTAACAATAAAGAATGACCCAAGTGTTATAACTAATATATAACTAATAACATTTTCTGGGTCAACACTTTAATTAAAAAGCTCTCCCCTTGGGCTTCCCTGGTGGCACAGTGGTTGAGAGTCTGCCTGCCGATGCAGGGGACACGGGTTCGTGCCCCGGTCCGGGAAGATCCCACATGCCGCGGAGCAGCTGGGCCCGTGACCCATGGCCGCTGAGCCTGTGCGTCCGGAGCCTGTGCTCCGCAACGGGAGAGGCCACAACAGTGAGAGGCCCGCGTACGGCAGGAAAAAAAAAAAAAAGCTCTCCCCTTAAAAAATTATTTGAATTATACTATTATAATATTTGTATATTGGTTGCTTTTTAACATATTGAGATATACATAACAGGACAAATAAAGTTTGTTTTTCTCTAAACTCATTTAAAAGTATATCTATGATTACCCTATCAAGATCAGAAAGGTTAGATTATACTTAGAGATAGGTAAATGCCTTAGAAGTGTTTTTACCATCAAAAGAAATAATGATCTTAACAGTGCATGTATTTTCGTGTGTGAAAGTGTGAAGGTGACTAACTTTGCTGTTTCTATAAGTTTCTCTGTCTATAAAAATGCAGTTGAAACATAACCAACTTAATTCAAGATGTTAAAATTAATTATGTTAAGTTAGCCAAAGCACTGAAGTTGAATCACATGATCCTAGCATTCTAGGCTGATGGCTCCCTCGGATCAAAAGGATAGTAAATAACCAAGTAAGGTGCTTCTGGGGTATATTAGGTCCCTAATCAAGAATGTGTGATCACTGACCCTTTAGGCAGAATAAAATGCAGAGTATAAACAGATTGGTGATAGTTTATTTAATTTAAGTTGAGCCACCTGTAAATTCTTCATACCTCTGGAAATAACGTGTATATCCATTTTGAAAATACCAGTAGCAACAAGTATTCCTAATATTTGCTATGAAATCCTGGAGCATAGGAACTTGGTATAAAGTAGACAAGTTTGATTCTACACCATCCAGGCTTAGCCCTTTGCTCCCCCCACCCTTTGCTGCCTTCTTGCCCCATCACCCTTCCAACCCAGTTTCTACCATCAGGAATTTACAAATAAACTATTTTATAACAAGGTTTTCAAACAAAGAAAAACCGTGATGTGATTCTCCCATCACTTAAATGTAACAGTATCGATTAACTTAAATTCTAAGTATAGAAATGACCACTTTCCATATAAACAGAAGAGCTTTACTCTGACAATCCTTCCATATTTCCCAAAGTTGAGATACTGGTAAGACACATATGTGGCACTGTATCAGCAGTTTGACCTTCAGGCTTCAAGATTAATGTTAAAGTGAGACAAGTCAAACTTCAGGACTTTCTAAGAGACCAGAAAGCTGTGTTGTTATTATGCCTCTTTTACAGAAATAGTAAGATCTTAATCATATTCATACCCACGAAATCTTTTCTTGAATGGCATAAATCGGAGTTTCTGTGCTTAAAATGTTATGGTTCAAATTCTTTTAAGAAAGAAATCACCAGCAACAACACTTGACAATTAGAATCTGAGCTATGTAAAGTCTAAAATAATTATGAGGGGTACCATTAGTGGCCATTTGTAAGCACACTGTGATGATGGACTTGCAGAGGTAGGGAGCTGGACTATTTAAGATGTGTATCTGCTCATATTTAGATGCATTAAAGAATAATTATTACTGTGATAAATTCAGATTGAAACCTGCCTATAAATTTCATCCCCTAAATATTACTTACTTCTGCTTACTTACATCTTCTACTGACAAGTTGTAATGTATCTGCCACCAAGAGCCCAGTAATAAGGCCCTCTGAAACTTGACCTCTGTCTGGCAGAGATGTGTAAGACTGACCTCTGAGGTGGGCAGGACGGTAAACAGCTTACATTGTCTATAAGGAAGCTTCATTACCTTGAAGTATTATGAATTCTCAGACTATAAAACACCTTCAAAGGACTATATATATAGTTTAAAAGCCTGAAAATTTTGTTAAAATTTTTCAAACTCTAAAAAGACAAAAGAAATGGTTCCCTTACATAATTTCCCATTACATCAGAAATATACTTCCTCCAGTTAATCTGCCCTATGAATTAAACCAAAGAGCTTGGACAATTACATTCTGAAGTTCATAAAGGACCAAAAATAGTAACCTATGCAAAAGGTGAGAGTGATTACGTATTACAAGTGATACGGTTTTGGCTTCAGAATTTTATTTTAGAGGTTGTACAAGGCCAGATTACGAGGCTGTTTGCAAACCTGGGAAATCTATCAGATGCATGAGATAAATGAGAAAAGTCAAAAGACAAAAGTAAATACATGTTCCATTTTGTACAACCATTCAATAGCAATATAACCATTCAGTTCACCATTGATTATTCAGTTCATCATGCAGAAGTAACCATTCAGACTCCTCTCTCCACATGACTCACATTCCTGTGATTTCTAGATCTTCAGCTATTTTAAAATACTAGTGTTTATGAAAAAGTAAGTTCTTAATTTAAAATTACATTAATTAAAATTATAGAATCTTAGGCACTTAACTGAAATTAAGGCCTGAGTCACTTCAGAAATACTAAAAATAGTGTATCAGAGCAGTTTTATAAAAATATCACCAGAGGCCGATGCATCAGGCCTCAACATGCTTCCTTCTGTGTGTGATTCCTTTCAGTGTCTGATTCTGCTAACCTTGATCTATTGGCACGGCATGGGGTGGGGGTGATAACGGGCAGCTTGTTCATAAACACAAACCTTCTCCTGAGACTTCTTCCGAGTGATGTGTTAACATGTTAAAATCATGAAAAACCTTTCCAAAATTATGATATACATACCCTTTGCAACACAGAAATATTTGTCATCATCACTGATGGCATATAGCGTCTTCAGATCCCTTTCCCTTTCAGAGAAGAATTCGATTACAAACAATACTACCCAGTGAGTGATTCAGTATAAAATAACTTCTCCCAAATTTGCCTAATGTGATCAATCCTCTATAAGCTCTAGAAAATGTACACCATCAACTTGCACAACAGAGTCCCAAGGCCTGAGAGGTTCAACACTCATATGTCAGTCATGGCTGCAGGGCCAGGAAAATGAGCATCCTGCTGGACTCCTACATTCTTCACACTGTGCTCATGGACAAGGTCAGGGTAGTTTCTGTGTGCAGGCTGGGGTGCGGACAAGGCCCTTGTGTCCCACTGGCTTTCACAACGTTGACAGCGTCACCGGCAGCCGGGAGCCTGGATGGTTGGGTGGGAGGGGAGCACAGTTAGTGAGATGCAGGAAGAGGTGTGAGAGGTAAAAAAGAAGCAGGCTGTGTGACCAGCATGCACTGCTGCTACAAGGATGCCCCGGCGCAGTGAGACGCTCAAGAACGACAAAGGGGAAAATCCACAAAGTCACGCGTCAATACGGAGACACGAATAAGCCATCAGAGTGAAATAAAGAGTGAAATAAAGGTGAGTGAAATAAAGAGGGACTCTCACAGAGAGCAAGACACTCTGCATCTGTCCCTGATGTTGCTATCAAAATCAAAGGCAGAAATGTTGTCTGAGGTTCTAAAGACAAGAAAAAGTACTTATTATCTACTTAATTCAAGTATTTGAAAGGACAATTCTACATTAGGACAAAGCCAGATATAGAAAATGGCAATTGTGAAAAGTTATTTCCCTGATCAACTGACTTCACAGAACTGAAATCCAGGAAACAAAATTCAGAAAGAGCATTAAAAAAAAAATCTCCCCTCACAGCAGAGGCCATGTAATTTGACATCAATGTTTCCAATTAACAATGTAGAAACATTGTTCCTTCCCTAATGCGTGAAATTCAACAGGTACAGATAATGTGATGAGATTAAGCTCCTCCAGGAGAGTTTAGTGAGCATCTTAGATACCTTTTCTCAGAGCTGTAAACAGTCCTATTGAAGTAAGAGAGGGACACATGCACACAAGCAGTTTCTGGTTAGAAATCATCAGAGTCCTCCAGTAGAAAGAAAACATTTGCCAAGGTTTTGTGACGTGACAAAAAGGGCAGCACATATTTAAGGTAACTACAAAGGAAAAAACATCACCCCAATTATAAAAATGTCTAAGAATAGACATTCTCTTCAACCAAAACATGAATCTTCACCTTTTTTCCTTAAGGAAACTGAAAATAAATTAGCTAAAAGGGTTTTCAGAACAAACTTGGAAGCTTCTTTTTTTTTTTTACAATAAAATTATCATCTTTCCTTCAACTGAAATACAAGCTATTCATCAGATCTAACCCATAAAACTCACAACCTTCAATATAGGGTCTCTGAAAATTTAGAAAGTTAAATTAGGTTTATGCTCTCCCCTACATATGCAAGCTTTTCCAAATAGTATTCAGTTTTTTGTTTATAAATAGCTTATAGACTTAAAATACATTAATTCTCAAAAGGTAGCTTAAATATTGGATAATTCTAGGTTACTGACATACCAAATCATTCACTGAAATAATGGTGTCATTTAGAAGATGGCAAGAAAAAGCTCAAGAACCGAACAGGGAGTAGGTTTAGACTAAACTGGTTAAAAGTTATCTGCCAGAAACAGAATTGTCCACTATTCTGCCCAACTGTCCAAACCTAGGGAGCATTTCCAAATTTTATTAATGTACCACTTTCTAAAGGAGGACTGTTATATATTCATGTGAAAGTATTAATAAGAATCAAAGCATGCAGAAACAAAGGCTGAAACATAGAATGCATGTTAGGTTAAGGCTGGGGAACCCGTCAGCTCCGAGACAGGCCAGCTCCATACTCAGTCCCATGCCTGCTGCCACACACTGTGGCTCCCTGGGCCTGAGGGTCACCATTTTGCTCCATATCCACAAAGGAGGCCTCAGTACAATGACATAAATAAGGACATACAGCTCCAAATTTTTCATTTTTCTTGAAATTCAATACTCTTAGATTCAGCATTCTCTCTTTATATAGGCTGCATCAAAGGAACTGAGTAATGCCTAAATATATACCAATTAAAACTGGAAAACTATAAAGATTTAGTGTCACAATACAGATGCAAACAAACCAGATTCTAATTCCATATTAATCTAAGAGGTAAGCACATATTAAATGAGCTCTTTTTTAGTTGAAGTTTCAGCTCTACATCTCCTTGCCAATAAGACTTGGCGGTAACATTACTGGAGCTGCGTCTTCAGTAGAAACTGAAAACACTGTTCTTAATGGCTTAAAAAAATAAAGACTAAAATGTGACATTCAGAAGCCTCACTGTTTATACTTTAAGTGTGTGCCCACATGCACATACACACACACACACACACACACACACTACCCCCACCACACTCTCAAGGAGAAAGGGCAAAAAGAGGATAACGGAAAACAGGAGGGGAGGGAAGAAAGAGGATAACGGAAAATGGGGGGGTGGAAAAAAGAGGATAAAGGAAAACGGGGGGGGGGGAAAAAAGAGGAAAACGCGGGGGGGAGGAAAAAAGAGGATAACAGAAAACCCGGGGAGGGGGGGGGGAAAAAAGCAGGTAACGGAAAACGGGGGTGCGAGGAAAAAAAGATAACGGAAAACGGGAGGGGAGGGAAGAAAGAGGATAACGGAAAACCCGGGGAGGGGAGGGAAAAAAGAGGATAACGGAAAACAGGGGTGGGGAGGGAAAAAAGAGGGTAACGGAAAACGGGGGTGCGAGGAAAAAAAGAGGATAACGGAAAACCCGGGGGGGGCGGTGGGAGGGAAAAAGGCGGATAACGGGAAACGGAGGGGAGGGAAGAAAGAGGATAACGGAAAACACGGTGGGGGGGAATCCCCTCCATCTTAGAAACTAATCAAGTTATTTGGAACTGAAGTAAAAATATGCCCAATCATCAAAAGCAAAGCACCTCGCAGTTAGTTAAGCCAAAATAATAGTGAAAAACAATTACATAGCAAAGACTGAAAATAATCACCAACCACTGCTGACCCACCACCATGAAGGAAGAGTTGGTTGCACAGAAAGCTGACCCAAACCTTGAGATCACCACAGAAACTCATTAGATTTCAGGTACTACACAAACTAAGCAAGAGAAAAAGAAAAAAATCCTATGAATTATCAAAGTTCATTTCATAAACAGACACAAAACTTGAACAGATGATGCAACCGACATGACCATTCAATCAAATAATTTCCCAGCAGCCCCCAAGCCACATACATTCATTTGGGAAACGATGAACCCCACTGATTAACCCCAATAAGCCACAAAGTATCCATATTTGTGCACTTACTATTAGTCTAAAAAAAGACCCTGGGAATCTAAACAAATGAAGTATCTTCTCTGTCATTTGACTATTTCTCCACCTCCCCCCAGTGGAGTATTTCCTGCTTTGTTTCATTGGACTATAATCACGTTTCTGTTTTGGCTTTATCTTCAGTCTTTAATGAAGAAGACACGCCCAAAGCAGTAGCATCGTAATGAAAACATTGTTAGCGGTCTGGGAAAAGGCCCTACCGACTAGCACTGAAGTCCTTTCCAACAGAGAAGCGCCGCCACTCCCAGCTCACGCTAACCAGAGTCAGGGGGCTGTCTGATGTGCCTCATTTAGACGACCGTCTCCTTGCTTCATCCATAGCCTTACTTATCCCAACGTGACAGCTCCATAACGTGCTTCTTTTCAGCTTACAAATATGAATAATTTGCTTTCAATCATATTTAAACTACTCTACGGCCGGGGATTCAAAACGCCCTTAGGCAAGCAGTGTTTTATTTTGGCTCAATGAGTGAACAAACCATTTCTTGTCATGCTGGTCTGCTCCGGGAGTCCTTGGAAGATTCTCAACTTGCACAAGCAAAGGACCAGAGGGAACGGAAGGAATCACAGGCACAGTGGATCTCACACCCCAAGCCTTTGGACACAAATTATAAAAATCATCTATTTTGCCTAGATAAAAGATCTCTTCACCACTAAACGGAACATTAAAATGGAATACTGTCTACATAGTGAACAAATATAATAGTAAACAGAGCAAAAAACAAATGCTTGAATGTTATACACCATCCTTGGGATAGATAATAATCTAACTGAATATTAGTATTTTATTTATTTTACAGGGACAGAAAATGTTTCATTATAACATTATACCTGTTCTATTGTAACATCTTAGAATAAAATAACAGGTCACACATTACTGAGCTATTTTACAGATAAGAAAACGAAAATGCACAGAACTTTCCCGAGATTATACCACCAAGAAAATTCAATTAATAATACTATTGTTTGTCATAATTAACTACAGTGTTCCAGTGCTTTAGAAGCTCAATATTGTCTTACCTGTCGGGAGCCATTACTCTGAGCTGAAACATTACTGTGAACACTGTAATGGGGGAAAAAAATAAAGAAAAAATTACCGTGGGTACCTAAAACTGAGAATGTAAGATGTCCAGAAAACATCCGCTTCTACAGGCAAATACTTGCTTTTCTGCTCATTTGCTATTTCCATATACCTATATTCTACTTGTGCTTTAGATATATACTTCACTACGAATCTTGTTTATTCACTGGACAACATCTGTCAAGACAACAAAATAAAACCAACAGCACAAATGATCCCTTAAATTCAAGGCGTTCAGCACAAACACCCACATAACCTTACCCATCACTTCTTTTATATATCCCTACCCTCTCAAGATTTTCTGGTGTCAGCAGTAGCTTAGCATTTTATAACTCAAAAGGCCTTAGTATAAACTTAAAGTTAGAAACTTCTCTGCATACCCTTCTCCTCCAAATGATTTAAAATATGTTTTAAAATTTTTAGTTTAGGCTGCACTCATTCCTCTCCCACTCCCGCAAAAAAGCACCTAAAAAACTCAGCATATAATGCAACAAAATAAATAGAAACAAACCTCAGAACAACTAAGAAAAAGAATATTCAATGAAATAAGAACTGAAAAATGAGATACTAAAACACAGAATAAGGCAAATAAAAGAGTTTACTGACTTCAGACCTTCCAACATAAGTATAACTAGTATCCTGAGGTAAAAAATTCAACTAACTGAAAATATATTCAACGTTATAAAAAAATTCCTTGACAGTGAGAAAATAATCTACAGATTTAGCAAGAACACTGTGTTCCAGGGAGATGAGATACAGAATTAAATACATTCAATTCCTTATTGTTATATTACTGACTTTCAACGATAAGGAGAGAATACTTCAGGTACCCTAAGGAGATTTAAAAGCACATCACTGCCAGCATCAGGTTGGCACAGAATTCTCCATGGCAACACTCAAAGAACACTATACCCAGACAAGACGTCATTCTCGTAAAAGGAAATGGGCAAAGCTTCACAAACACAAAACCGACTGTGAATACAGGATCCAGGAGCCTTTCTTAGGGGAGTGAGAACAAAACAAAAGTATCTGATGATGAAAGACAACCAATTAAGAAAGAACTCAAGAATTAAGAGGCCTTGCTAAAAGGCTGGGTGAGAAGGAGTAACCCATTCTACACCCCCATTTTTTATTAACCACATCTCTGTTACAAGTTAAGTCACAAGAATTTGCGCCTCCACTACCTGGGTTCTAATTCAAACCGCGCCACTAGCTCTGCTCTCTGAACCGCAGTTTCCTCACTCGCATGGGACTCGCATTAGGGGATCGAATAAATGTTAGCAAGCACAAAGAACAATGACAAATAAAACTAACCAACAACGAAATCTTTAAAAAAAACATCTTGTTTAGTGTAGATCTGTTGCCAAGGCTGGTGTAAAGAATATACCTATCCGGCACAATTTCTTTTACTAACCTTGTTGTTCTTCCCAGGATACACCGCTCTGTATTAAGTAACTCATAACCCCACATTAATGAAACCTCCTCCAACCTGCTTTGTACAGAAATTAGACTCATTACGCTATGGCCCCCGGGGTTACGCTCTGAAGCTTCTCCTTGAACTGGGAATAAGTCCAGTAGGTGATAAGTAGGAGATGAAGAATAACATGAGAAAAAAGCGCTGATGATAAGTGATGATCACCGGATTCTAGCTCCCTGTTCTAAAACAATTTGAAACGCAGGAAGCACTATTTTCTCATAATTACACTTATTCTTTGACTTCCACTAATATGAAGGGAACAAATGCTTCCTGTTACTGACCAATCCAAGCTTCCCTTTTGAAGGACTGTCTGCAATAACGGACCCATTTTGCTCTTTGCCCCCTCTATGCATCATCTCCTCCACCATTTCTTTTCCTCTCTCTTCTGTCCTCAAGACTGCCCACTAAGCCTGTACAAGAAGTACTAGTAAGTGAAAAGTGAACTGTCCTTTAAAATGTCACGTCTTTCTAAGATACTTTACGTTAGTCAAGACTCACAGGGAGTAGTTAGAAAGAAATGAAAGAGTACAAGGAAAACTAACATCAGCCAATTTAAAAACCTGTTATTCAGGTAAGCACAGTACAAAGTCAAGAAGCTTTTTAGGTCAAATAGTTGTGCTTTTTCTAACAGTACCGTTTGCCATGGTTCACTGGAGCAAAACTGTTCATGTGAACAGAACTCTGAGGGCAGGAATGAAAGCGCATTCCTCTCAGGTTCTCTCAAGCAATGTTAGGAGCAGGGCTCAATAACCTTCAGGAGAGTGGGTCCCCCTCTGAATGTCATTCCTAAAAATTATTCTAACTAAAAAATAATAAAGCATCATTGCTTAAATACTCCATTTTTGCTGTGTTTTAAAGAGCCAAAAAGCATCACTCAAGAAGACACAATAAAATTTACTTATTAAAGTTAAATGAATCTCAATTCTAGGAGATTATATAGTCAGTCATACTCACTCTTTGGTCAGAAATCTGTATTTCAAAAACATTTAAAGGAGGACAAACTTTTGCAAATAAAAGCCTTAATTTTTCAACTACGTATCATCACTTGAATGCTTTGTTTACATTTCTGCTAACTTCATCAGGGAATATTCTTCACTTTAAGCTCTAATATTCTGTCCCAGCCTCCTTTTCAGGAAAACAAGACATGATTCATTAAACAAACAAATAAAATACTTAAAAAAATACAGAACCCCTCTAACATTTCTCCACCATTCTTCTTAAAAGCACAGTTTAAAAATTAACTCCACGAAAAATTATAGTGTATAGCTCAGAAAAGGGAGAAAATTTTGTTTTTTGCCTAATTAAAAATTCATGGAACTTCCTCGGTGACGCAGAAATTAAGAATCCGCCTGCCCAATGCACGGGATGTGGGTTCAAGCCCTGGTCCAGGAAGATCCCACATGCCGCGGTGCAAAGAAGCCCGTGCGCCACAACTACCGAGCCTGCGTTCTAGAGCCCGCGAGCTATGACTACTGAGCCTGCGCGTCACAACTGCTGAGGCCCGCGCGCATAGAGCCCATGCTCCACAACAAGAGAAGCCACCGCAGTGAGAAGCCCATGCACCGTAATGAACAGTAGCAGCCCCAACTCGCCTCAACTAGAGAAAGCCTGCATGCAGCAACAAAGACCCAATGCAGCCAAAAATAAATAGATAAATAAGTAAATTTTAAAATAAAATAAAAATAAAAATTCACGATGGACAGAATCCCTCACACTTCCTCTCTCCTCTACCCACTTATTTATTTTTAACAGCTTCCTGACCGCTAAGTCACTAACCACAGCCTGGCTTTAATGGCTCTCTAAGTGGAAAAAAACCCAAAACTGAATAGGACACCTCCAGCTGAGGCTGACCCTACTCAGTACCCAAAACAAACGACTTCTCCTTTTGAAGAAGCTCTAGCTATACTGACACATCTCCATACAGGAGTGTAGACACCGTTTTAACAAAAACTAGATTTGTGAGTATGTCCTGAATCTCACAGTTTACCAGGCATTCCAGAAGGCTCTGGTACAACAGTGGTTGAGAAGCATTACATGAAACTCCACAGTGTAATACACTCTATTAATACTGCTTCATCACAAGGAGGACTTGGACAACAGTGACTGCAGGACAACAGCAGACCCTCTCCCCAGCAAAACAAACATGTAGCTGCTGAAAATTATTCTTTAAAAAAATCATTAAAAGGCATACATCAAGTGGAGAAACATTTATTTAAGAAAATCTAGTAACTTTTAAAAAATCTGATCTAAAAAAACAAAACAAAAAAGTTACTAGAGAATGAGAAGAACATTTTTTTGTGATAAAATAAAACAGTTATAAACAATACATGCACCTAACAAAAAGCCCCAAATACATGAAGCACAAAGAATTGAAGGGAGAAACAGACAACCGAACAACAATAATTGGAGACTTCAATAGTCCACACTAAATAATGGAGAGAACTAAGCCAAGACCCGTGATGAAACAGAAGTGAACAACAGTAAAAACCAAGCAGACCTAACAGACATTCATAGGACATGACACTCAACAGCAGAACAGACATTCTTCTCAATCGCACATGGAACATTTTCCAAGCTGAACAACATGCTGGGACATAAGAGAGGCCTCAATAACTGTAAAGGGATCAAAGTCATGTGAAGTACATTCTCTAACCACAATGGAATAAATTACAACAAACAAAAAAAAAGGGGAGAGGGGAAAATTTAAGCTACAAACGTCGAAATTAAGCAACACACTCCTAAGTAGCCAACGGGTCAAAGAAGAAATCACAAGAGAAATTAGAAAATAATTTGGGATGAATAAAAATGAAAATACAATATACCAAAACTTATGAAATATGATTAAAGTGGTGCTTGGAGAGAAATTAATAGCTATAAATGTTATATTAAAAAAGAATACAGGGCTTCCCTGGTGGCGCAGTGGTTGAGAGTCCACCTGCCGATGCAGGGGACACGGGTTCGTGCCCCGGTCCGGGAAGATCCCACATGCCGTGGAGCGGCTGGGCCCATGAGCCATGGCCGCTGAGCCTGAGCCTCCGGAGCCTGTGCTCCGCAAAGGGAGGGGCCGCAGCAGTAAGAGGCCTGCGTACCACAAAAAAAAAAAAAAAAAAAGGAATACAGATCCCATACACTAATAAACCGATCTTCCACCTAACGACACTAGAAAAAGAAAACTAAACCTAAAGCAAGCAGAAGGAGTGAAATAATATACCAGAGAGAACCGATCTTCACCTAACGACACTAGAAAAAGAAAACTAAACCTAAAGCAAGCAGAAGGAGTGAAATAATATACCAGAGAGAAAATTAATAAAATAGAAAATAGAGGAACAGATAAAGTTGATGAAACCAAAAGCTGGTTCTTTGAAAAGGCCAACAAAACTGAAAAACCTTTACCTAGACTGACCAAGTGAAAAAGAAACTCAAATTACTAAAATCAGAAATGAATGAGGGGACATCACCACAAAGCTTATAGAAATAAGGAGGAAAAGAGAATAATATGAACAACTGTATGCCACAAATTAGATAACTTAGATAAAATGGACAAACTCTGGAAAGACACAAACTCCCAAACTGACTCAAGATAGAAAATGAAATATGAATAGATCTACAACAAGACACTGAACTGGAGATTTTAAAACCTGACACAAATGAAGTCCAGGCAAGATGGCTTTAATGGTGAATTCTACCATATATTTAAAGAATTCTTTACAAAACCTTCCCCCAAAATAGAGAGAAACATTTCCCAACTCATTCTGTGAAGCCAGAATTACCCTGATACCAAAACCAGATGAAGACAGTACAAGAAAACTACAGACCAGTGTCTTTGATGAATACAGACACACAAATCCACAACAAACCTAGTGAACCAAATCCAGCAACATGTAATATAAAGAAAGACTGTACACCATGACCAAGTGGGATTTCTCCCAGGAATAAAATGAACTGCTTGCGTACAAATCAACCTCTGTTCTCTGAGCTTCCTGTGTGCAAGGGCCACAGTTTATTCATCTTTATATCCTCAGTCACAGGCCAATAACAAACGTACAATATGTCATTCTCATTATGAATAGCACAGCCACCCAAGCTCACTCTTTTTCTTTAAGCTGCTTTATTTTTCTTTCTGTCCGTTTTACCCAGCATTATGATGTGTTTATCTGCTCCCTGCTAGATCCACCGTGCTCAGGGGCAAGTGAATACTGTGACAGACCTTCAACAGACATTGGTTCAATTAACGATGCAACTACAGAAACGCTAACACATTCGGTTATCAATTCCTAAGTTGCAAGACATTACCCACCTGAGCTCTTCAGGTTTTCCTGTACTTGCCAACAGAAAAAAACAGAAAACATCCCATTAGATTCCTCCAACATGGTAAACTGCTTTACTATTCACAAAAGTAAATCTTGACTCATTGCTTTGTAAGCTGTTTTCCAACTACAGATTTAAAAATCTTCACTTCACAAAAGTGTTCTATGGCTCACGCCATTCAAGTAAATAATGACAATGATCTCCAATTTTTAAGTAAGGCAACAAAATGAGCACACATTTAAAAAAACAGAACCATCTGCAAGCCTTTAGAGTGAGCTGACAGTGAAAAATCATCAGTGGAGTCTAGGAGGTAACTAAGGGTTTTAAATAAATTGAAATGGTTTCATTTACAGATACATCAAAAATTATAGCTATAAATCAGTTTTCTAAAAAACTGATACTGCCAACATCAGGTCACGGAAGTTGTTTTTGGATAACTGGTGATGACTCTGACATTGGACATACTTAAAATTCAATCTGTATTTTAATACAAACTCAGATTTGAAACCAAACACAAGTTTCAGCTTACTGGTCAAAGTAAACCATTCTTTGTATTACATAATTAAAGTAACAAACAGCAAGTAACATTTATGAATTTGGAAATGTCTATGTACCATGTACACTGATGATTAATATAAAAACCTTACTTAACAGAACCTTTAATATTATTATAATACATACAAAATAAAAAATTTATTCATCATATACCAATGTTTTAAAAAATATCTGCAGGGATTTAACAGATTATTATGAATGAGATCTGGAAGTCAAAAAGGGAGGGAAAATGTTGCTCTAGAGAAGAACTAAAATAGTAAGAACAAAAACTGAACACAAACTCAGCACAGTGTCAGAACTGGGGTTAGCATACAGTTTGATCTCAGCAACAGTATAGGCAGTTTTTCCCCGTGTATTCTCAAAAACTGATTATGCTAGAACCAAATTCAGTAAAGAAGAGTACTTTAGTTGTCTGGAAAAGACTAAGAGGACCGAGGCAGCCTCCTCTCCAGCCAACAATACCAGTACAGGATGCACTGCCAGGAAGAATAGTCCTTTGAAACAGGGCTGCACTTCACCTTGCACTTGCAGAGCTCGTCGAGAATACCGTTTGCTGGGCCTCCTTTCAAAGGATGTTGATCTTCTTGCTTTATTGGTTTTTGTGGTCTGATACTCAGTTTTCCCACTAAAATAAATGAGGCATATTAACAGGAATAAGAGAATTTGAGGCCTACAGTAGTCAGATACACAAAAATGAGAGAAAGTCTACACTGAGGTTCTCCTCAAGAGAACCATCCTGAACTTCCTTCCTGAATGACCTATGAAAACCAGTGTTGACGTCTCTCTTTACCACACCATTCTTTCACTCTTTAGGCTTGTGTGAAAGATACAACACAAATTATATTGTTTTTTCTTAATCATGCACATCACCTAAGAACATAATAAATAAATTTGAAATATCTGTCCTTTTATGGAACTCCCTTCTCTTTCCCATCCATACTCCTCAACGCAAGATGTACAATTAACTCAAGATTTTCAGTTACTTTTTCTAACTGTGATATACTTTTCAGATCACTTTTCCAGAAATATTGAAACTATTGCCCCACTCACCTTCATTTCCATTTAAATTCTGCTAAGAAAACGCCTCCCCACTTTTAATGTAAGTAGAATAGACGCTCTCTTGCATGAACCCCACACACAGTGAACATGCCACATTACTGACACTATCCATTCCTTCTTTAAATTACACTGACGGATTCTTGTGACATGCCAAAAACTCACCATCAATAAGCTACTCTGAGGTAAACCAAAACATTTCTAACTTATGACCAACAAACAAGGAGTCTGTAAGAACAATGGAACGTCAGGTTTATAAGGACCAGATTAATTTCCCAGTAGTGCATAATACTCTTTTTCTACATGGTATCCAGCTGTTGGATGGAGGCCCCTTAAAACTCTTGTTACGTGGATTTAAACTGGAGATTAATACATAAAGCAAACATCAATGTCCATCAACAGGTGAATGGATAAAGAAGATGTGGTATATATATATGTGTGTGTGTGTGTGTGTGTGTGTGTGTACACACACACACACACACACACACACACACACACACACACACACAATGGCATATTACTCAGCCATAAAAAAGAATGTAATAATGCCATTTGCAGCAACATGGATGGACCTGGTGGGTATTATGTAAGTGAAGTAAGTCAGACAGAGAATGACAAGTACTGTATGATATCACTTATATGTGGAATCTAAACAATAAAATAAACTAGTGAATATAACAAAAAAGAAACAGAGTCACACATACAGAGAACAAAATAGTGGTTACTAGTGGGGAGGGGCACAATGCGGTAGAGGATTAAGAGGTACAGTACAAACTATTATGTATAAAATAAGTAAAGCTTAATCAACATTTTATATAACTATAAATGGAATATAACATTCAAAAATTATAAATCACTACACTGTACACCTAAAACTTACATAATATTGTAAATCAACTATACCTCAATAAAAAAAAAAAAACTTTTTTAACTGGAAAAATTGTTAATTACTCCTTAAAAAAAAGAAAAAAGGAAGAAACAAAAACATCAGGAGGGATATGAAATCCCATTACACCATTACAATATTCTCCTGTCTTTTCAGGAAATTACAAACAATAACAATATGTACCACTTTTTCTTTTATTTTGGCCAATGGAAAACACTGGCAAACCACTTCACCTCTCTGTGCCCTAGTTTCCACATCTGTAAAATGAGAAGCTGGGCTAAATTTTCTGGCCCCTATGAAATAATGAAAGGCAGAGCAAGCAGCTATAAACATTCACCTGTATCTAAACCGCGACCCTAATCGAATAAATCCCGATCGGTGAGAACGCTTCTGGACAGGGCCTCGGAGGCGGAAGAAGGCGTGATGCTCCACAGCACACTTCCATAAATGTTTGCACGCTTTGGGGTGATCCAGTCTGAAGACAAATGTATGCTCCTGCTCTTTGCCCTGAGAAAGAAACGCATGTTAACAGAGGTAATTATTAGCTCCAATGGTCCTGTCCCCTCGCATTTAGCTACGAATACAAGCACAGCAAGAGCAAGAATCCAATAATAAAGCATCTAGTTTGCTCCCTGAGACTCTGACACTCTTTAGAGCTACTACATAAAACGGCAGAGTTAAAATCAAGCTGTCCATTTTCTCAGCCAACATAAAATTATTCCTATTTTCTCTCTACTTACATGATCTCATTTCTCAAAGAGACATAAAATGAGCCTTTATCTGCCATACTTCAGGATAAATGTATAATATAATTTAAAGGTTCATATAAGATCTGGCAACATACATAACAGCCTTAAAAGTGGCCACATTCTTTATTATAGTAACCATACTCGCAGGAATCTAATTACACTAGTTAACATTCATAGACACTCTTCTAAGAATTTCACATGAATTCCTTCAATGAGTAGATACTATCACTATCTCCATTTCACAGATAAGAAAACTGAGGCTCAAGAAATTAAGCCCAATGTCACAAAGCTACTAAGAGAGGAAACCAGAATTTGAACCTAACCATTCAGGGTCCAGAGCCTACCTCTGTAACCACTAAGCTATCCTGTATCTCTAGGGGAAAAGACTTTCTCAACACCAAAATTTACACCCAAAGATTTCCTTCACAGTCTCATTTATAATAGTAAAAACTGGCACAAAACCCTAAATGTCCAAAAGATGAGAAATGTAATAAAGTAAACAAACTATACAGAGAGATAAATGAATAAAAGATGAATGAACCAATGCACTACTGTTTATTTATAGTGCAGAATACTATACATGGGTTAAAGTGAATGAACTAGGTCTACCTGTTTAGGCAAAATAAGCAAGCTGCAAAAAAAAAACCCACCCTAATATATATGTATATTATATATAATATTTATGTAGATTTATAAAACATTCTACCACATTTCATGATGTGGTTATATTTACAACAGGTTAGCAAACATGAGAATGATACCCTGCGAGAATGAGGAAGAAAGAGAGAAGCTATGGCTCAGACCTTAGCTGTATCAAACAGAACTTCTTGAATGAGACAAACAGCACACGACCCAACAGAAAAATCAACAACAGGCTTAAACACACACTTCATAAGAAAGACTATCCAAATATCCAATAAATATATAAATAAGTGTTAAAATGAAGCAGTCATCAGAGGAGTGCAAACTAAAACCACAAAATGATTCTACTACCAGAATGGGTAAAATGAGAACGAGAACTCCACACACAAGGCAAAGAAGAATAAACGGAACTCTCAGACACTCCAGGTGGGAGTGCAGCTGAGTGTGTAGACAGGCTGGCAAACAGTGTGGCGGCCTCCACAATAGCCAAACACACGCACATGCCAGGGCTCAGGGCAGCACTCTTCTTACTAGCCAAAAATTAACAGCAACTCAAATGTCCATCAACAGCAGGATGGATAAATACTACTGTATTCACAAAACTGAATACTATATAACAGCAGG